GTGATTAGCCAGTTTTTTGTTTTTTTGTTTTTTTATGGAGCACACAACATTTTTTTTTTTTTAAAACTTGTGTGTGTCCTGGGCTTAAAAAGAGTGTTGTTCTTGGTTTAGCTACGTTATACAATAGTTTGGGGGAAAAACACATGCAAACCATTAAAAAATGTTTTGATTTTAACGGAGGTAAATATGAATGTTTAAAATGAGATTTTGCCTTAAATATCCTGAAGTTCACGCTGTTTTTTTGTATTTGAAATAAATGCTTTAGACATTAAGACAATATACTGGAATATAATTGTCATCTTTTGCATCAGTGAGAATAAAGCATGAACTCAATGTAAATGTGTGATATAAATACAGCTGATAATTGCATTGATAGTGCCACGAATAGACGCAAAAGTTTCATCTGGATTTCATGTAGTACGAATTGTCCATCTCACAGATGAGTCGGTTTAATTCATTGCATTAATTCTAAATTGCTTCTCATTTACAAATTTAAACAAGAAGTTGCTTTTCAGAGTCAATCCTAATACATAGCCCTATTCAATTGCCTCCTTTTCTCACTTTTTAAAGAAATGACAGCAGAGTATGCTTGTACGAGAAAACAATTCAATAAGAAGCTGTCTGAATTTGGATTAATTCAGGTAAATGAGACACTGTGCAGTTTAATTTATTGTTCCAAGAAATGTTAAGGAATTTAGAATGCTTTCATAATATCAAATTATGTCTGTAGCAGTACTGATTTAAAATCATATAGCTTACATACTTGATGACAGTTATAAACAAAATTAATTCCTGCAAGTTTAATAAGAATAACGTATTCATGATTTCTTGCAATTGAGAATAAATTCTAATGTTATTTTTTAATTTATGCAGAATATTTAAATATGAATTGATTTTTTAATTGAATCTTTCAGGAGAAGTTTGCCCTTATGGCTCAGAAAGCTTATGTAATGGAAAGCATGGCCTATCTCACTGCAGGCATGATGGACAGGCCAGGGATCACGGATTGCTCGGTTGAAGCTGCCATTGTTAAAGTAAGCTTCCCTGAGATGTTGTTGTAACGCTATGAGTATCTCTTCTAATGTTCAAATCAAAACATCTGTAATATATTTTCCCCTTTCTTTGTTTTCAACTATTCCAGTTAAACACTGTAGCTTGTTTGTTTAAACGATAGCACTTGTATCAATTCAGTCCTTTACGGCGTGATGTGCCTGTTTATCTGTAAGACTCTGTAAATCTGACTGAAATGAAAACAGTCGTTGAAATATCAGTCACTAAGATTTGCCTACATCACACATTGAAGTAAATAAGGGAAGAGGACCTGGGGATGACCATAAACACCATCCTTAATACTCTTATGTAGTTATCTGTTTTAGAAGGGTTCCCAGTTGCAGGTAGGATTGTTGAAATTATTGATGAAAATGTATTTAGCAAACAAATGCAAATTTGCTCAAATTCAGTATTGGGGGGGGAACATAGAGTATGTTCATTCTGTGAGAACACTGACTGAACTTTGGTTGTCAGAGTGTTACTTTTCAATAGCACTAAAGATGACTGTATCAGGTTTGGAGGATCCTGGAGTTTCTAGAGGTATAAATATCTGAAAGGAGCAGAAAAAAGCAAAACAAAACAAAAAAAACAGGAGAGCAGAATATATTCCATAGGCACATATAACTGGATGGTACATCCTGTTTGCTTAGATCATGAGTCTAAAATGTGTGCATCATCATCATCATCATTATTATTATTCCAAAATTGTTCTTGTAAATTAATGGCTCATAATCTTCATATTCTGTAGAGTTTAGCAGTGGTTACTAATAAATCTGTGCCCACTTAAAAAGCCCATGCTGTTTTTCATAACTCCAAATATGGCTTGACATCTTCATCCCGATAGCATGACAAAATTTAATAGTAGCCAAAACTAAGTGCTTCTTATATTGCTAAGTTTAAAAAAAGCTGGCTTATGTAAGAATAACAGGTGATGTTTCTATGATTATTTGCAGGTGTTCAGTTCTGAAGCTGCTTGGGTTTGCGTGAGTGAAGCGTTGCAAATTCTTGGAGGCCTTGGCTACATAAAAGATTATCCATATGAGCGCTATCTCCGGGATTGTAGGATACTTATGATTTTTGAGGTAAATAAGAATGCTTGTCCTATAAATTGCATTCAGTCTCAAGAATATTTATATAAAACTGGGAGACAGATGCATGTCTTTTTAAGAACCATCGGAATAGCTCAGGAGTTGCCGAAATAGATGAAGCCCAGTGTATACGTTTTTTCAAGTTGAGTATCTTTAGACAAATACAAGAGAATAATTTTTTTCCTTTCTGCATGATTTTCTGTACCTTCTCTTCCCTCTTTCTAAAGTATTTGATTGTATTATTTGAATGTATTAGGAATAATGGTTGTGGTTTTTCAGAGAAAATACATTGTAACAACTATTCTAGTAGTCTTGTAACAATTAGGCACTTTTAATCCTTGAATATGATTTAAATGTATCTTTTCAAGTTGTTGACAGAAATAATACTTAATACAAGCCTGACTGTATGATAATCCAAATTTAAATTGCTCAAATATTTCTGTTTCAGGGAACAAATGAAGTTTTGAGGATGTATATTGCTTTGACAGGCATGCAGTATGCAGGCAAAATCTTAACTGAACAAATAAAGTATGTAATGTTTTGAAATAATATTAAATTAATAATTACTGAATACAGATTGAAAATTGGTAGGTAGGAGCAGCACTGAAGGAAAAGATTGGTTCAAATGTATTTTTTCTTACAGTATGCATTAGTAGACCATTTTAATAATGCTCTATTTGCATTGTTCTGGAGGGACAGTTTTAAAGTTAAACCTATTGTAACTTTATTAAAACTACAAAAAGTGCTTGTAATGTTGGTCAGTTAACTATTGATGCTGTGACTTGGCATCATTTCAGTAGAATGGGTATGTAATGAAGGGAACCTCAAGGTAGCTTATATGATAACAGTGATTCTGGATATAAGAACTCACATTCTTTAGTTCTACTGTTTCTGCTGATACCACAATAGCTATGATGTTTCAGAATTAATTTTATCCATATGATGCTCTGAATATATTGCAACGATTAAGAAATGAAGGCCATAATCTCTCTAATCCAGACCATGAGTCCAACATAGCCATGATTTGTGTTGTGAATTTGTTGTAGGGTGCCTCAGTTATTTTATTATTATTTCTGTTTCTTGTTTTGTCCATAAACTTTTACTTATATTGTTTGCGTGTTGATTGTTGTAAGCCACCCAGAGTAATGTACTATATATAAGTTGAGCAGCCATATCAATTTTGTAGATAGATAGATGATTGATTGATATAAATAAATAAATCCAGGCATATCGAAAGCACAGCTTCTAGACAACAGGTGGCCTGACACTGGCCCCCAAAGCAGACGAAACGATCCCTTTTAATTCTTTGCATCTGGGGTGCTTTAGTTTTGCAGAGGCTTAAGGTACAGTTTCACTTCTTGCCATTGAACACTCCCAAAAGCAGGACTCCTGGTTCTGCCTTTTCAGAGCAGAGCCCTTGTCACATCATACCAAGTCCAGGGCTGCATCTGAGCTGGCAAGGGTTACCCCATACCCATTTCCCCCAGTGAACTGAAGCTACAGCCAAATGAAGCATCACTTAGTTTGGAGGAATGAGAAGCAAGAGGATAAATGTTGAGTAAAATTAGTGCCACTTTAGGTGAGGAAAAAACTCTCCTAAAGTTTAAGGACAATTATGTTCAGCATTACACATGCGCACCATTTAAATTAATACTTAATTCTTCTTCTGCAGAGAACTCAAGAAAAAAAATGTAAAAGTGATGTGGAATATAGTTATGAGCAGGCTGTTTAGCAGCAGGACTGCAAGCATAGGATTAATTGGAAAAGGAGGAGGAGTTCATCCCAGTCTCAAAGTAAGTGTTCCATGCAGAAAAATAATATACACAAAATCAAAGTTCTTCAGGCTTTGTAGTGCGATATCAAATTCCTCCATTCATATAGGAAACAAAGATGCTTGCTTTTATATACAGTACTGTGCAAAACTTTTAGGCAGGTGTGAAAAAATGCTGTAAAGTAAGAATGCTCTCAAACATATATATTGTGATTATCAATTTACAAAATGCAAAGTGAGCAAACAGAAGAGAAATCCAAATCAAATCAATATTTGGTGTGACCACCCTTTG